TGTGTGAGTCCCTATACCTGCCCCAAGCACATGCCAGGGTCTGTAACACCGGCCAGAATTTCACTAGTCTATAAGATACCTGCAGAGACTGATTTGATCCAGGTATTTATTTGACTAAGAAAGGCTGCAGAGAAGGGAAGAGGGAGAGGTGGACAAGGCAGGAGGAACCCAGTACTCCCAGGTGCCCTCGCGGTGTGCACGTACGTGCGTCCATCCACACACGGGCCGCAGAAGCACCGCGGCGCTGCCCCGTCGCTCTCGCGCCCGCGCTGGCGGCCCCGAGCAGGGCCCGGAGCCCCGAGAGCAGGGGAGGCCGCTGGGCCCTTGTGGGGGCCCTGGCTCTCCAGGCGCTCCGGGTGCTCCGGACGCTCTGCCAGCCTGGCAGGCCATGACGCAGAGCAGCCCAGGTCCCGCTGTGCTGCTGCGCCTTAGAGGGGACATCTCCCATATCATGAAATTATAGTCATTCCCTCATGCAGATTCTGCTGGATTTGTATTCCCTGCTGTCCTGGGACTCAGGGCTGGTGCATGAAACCAAACACAAGCATCTCTCTCAGGCCAGTGTTCCCTGCACTTGGGAAAGACCGTGGGCACAGGCTTGGACCAATGCAATCCCCTTCCAGCCTTCAGAGGCGCTCGGTAACGGGATCTACAGAGCACTTCTTGGTGATGAAGCCTCTTACGGTAGCAAGATCCAGCCCTTCGAGTCACATCTGCTGTTCCACACTGGCACGCCAGTAGGTCCTGCAGCGCTCCTGCTGCCACTCACGTGGAGACTGGATGTTACAGTAACGGGTACAACAGAAAATACTGAACTAGCTGGAAACGATCCTTTGGGAGATAGCACACAATGCTATTAAATGGATCTTGTTATTGTTCTAAAGTCTCCTCCCTCCCTCCCTCTCTCCCTTCCTTCTGTCCTTTCATCCTTCCTTCCATCCTTCCTTCCATGGGGACGTCACTGATGAAGTTCTGCGGTTCCCTGGCAGGTCTCTAAACCACTTCCTCAGCTGATACCACCACATTCTCCCACATTTGTGGCCATCTTTGGCCTCGACATGCAGCACCAGAGGACTGGGCGAGCGCGAGCTGCACCCCGAGCTCCAGCCCCTGCTCCTGGTCACTGGCTCGCACGCAGCGCTGCACGTCCCCGCGGGCAGAGACGGGTCACAGCAGCAAGCACGTGCACCTAGAAAACCATCTGATACTGGTCCCGCGGGCCGTGTATTCCAGAGCAGCTCCCGAGACGGATCTCTCTCCTCCGCAGCCACCTGTGCAGCACCCTGCTTTGGAAAGACACTGGCCAATTTAACTCTTCCTGCAGATTTTTTTTAGCTCTTCTGGCCTCGTTTCAGCTAGAGCCTTGAAGATAAAGACCGACACCTGCAATTTGACTATTTCATGGAAAACTAAAGTAGAAGCAGCAGGCAGCGGTCCTGCTGGTGCGAGGCCTCCCTGGCTGGGCTTTCCTGAGGACCGGGCCCCGTGCCCAAGGGTCCCACCTGCCTGTAGACCAGCTGCGAGGTGAGGAAACAAGGCAAAGCCATTAACTGCTGTGATGAGCTTTGGTAACGCAGACAAAACGGGCTAGCAAACCTCACTCACCGCTGCTGTTGGGATGAGCGCGTGCTCGGGAGGAAGCCGGCAGGCATCGCCAGCCTCTTCACCAAATAAACCAGTTGTTTGGTTCATTCAGCTGCCAGCCGCTGAAGCTACAGAAGGCTCCGGACTGGCCAGAACGTGTCCACCTGCTTCCAGGGCCCCGTATGTTCATGAGAACAAACCAATGTTCTTAGCAACTGTGTATGGAAACACAAAGCAGGAGCCCCCAGAGCTCCCCGGAGTCCTTCCCACAGCGGGTGCCAGCAGTGTGAGGCGCTGGGCAGGGCTGGGGGGCTCCGGGGCTGGGGGGCTGCGGGACTGAGGGGCTCTGGGGCTGCAGGGCTGCATGGATGCGGGGCTGGGGGCTGCAGGGCTGGGGGGCTCCGGGGCTGCAGTGCTGGCAGCCAGCCCCGCTTGGCCGGTCGCACACCGCGCACAGAGCAGCCGGCACTGCGGGGCGGCCGGGGCAGTGCAGGGCGCCTGCAGGAGCCACTGGTGCCAGCAGGCAGCAGGACCCTGTGGCATGGGGACAGTGGCACCGCGGGGACGGTGGAATCGTGGGGAGGATGGCACTGGAGGGACGGTGGCACCACGGGGACGAGCACCCTGGCACCGCCGCCACCAGCCCCGCGTGTGCACAGCCCCGCGCTGCACTCACGTCACAGCACCGGCATCGCGGCAGGGACCCGGCGCCGCGGGCGCTGCCGGGGTGCCCAGGGCCGCTGCTCCGGCCCCGCGGCCGGGCAGGACACGGTGCCCGTGCCCGGTGGCGCGGGGACCTTCCCGAGAGCAGCGCTGCGAGCGCGGGAGGCCCCGCAGGGACCCGCGCTGCCCCGGGACTACAGCCCGCGAGCGGCCGCCCCGAAGGGCAGAGCGAAAGGCCGGGCCATGGGGCCGGCGGGGCCTCTCCACGGCTCGGGGGCTGCGTGTTTGACTGGAATAAGCGTCTTTCATTCCTGTGGAAACTGGCAGGAGGCTCTTTCCCTTTGTGCAAGGAGCGCTTGACAGTATCGGAGCCACCCTACAAATGCGATTTGCTTTGCTCCATCATCGCCTGTTGAGCAGGGCTTTCAATTCATTATCTCATTGTTAGATATGTAAGAGAAAAATAACACGGAGAGGCACTCAGATCAGCTAAAGCTTTGAAGGGAATAGCTACAGCAGTGTTTGTTTAGCTTTTCCAAATCACATCTTTCTGCTCTCAAAAACCAGATAAAACTAAAACATATTTTCATGTTTCTACTTTACCTCTTCACATCTTACTGGAAGTGTTCAGCTGCTAAAACATTCCGTGCCAAATGTTGTTAAACACCTGAAAACGCTCTCTGGCTCTCTTGGGTTTTTTTTCCGGACTCTGTTTCCATCGGCACCTTGTGGCTAAGCAGCGATGTGAAAGAAGAGGGAGGCTGTGAGCGTCCTGGGTGCCCTCGCGGTGCGCGGAGCCGGGGGCTCCAGCAGCCCCTCAGGGCCCCAGAGCAGGGGCAGCGGGACACGCTGCTCCGGATTAAATCACTGCCCGCTCTGTGCCCTTGCAAAGGGAAGGAGGAGCTCATGAGCAAACACCTAGACGGAGACTTAACAGAAATGTAGTCACCAAATTCCTCGGAATTGTGTTTTCTGGACGAATTTTGCAAGCACCAAGGAAGTGATCTCCAGTGTGCGCCTATCTGTCCGTGTCTGCAGCTGCCTCCCCCAGGCGGTGTGTGGACCCCAGCAGGAGCAGAAGGCGGTCTGGGGGCGCGGGGCGGTTGGGAACCTCCACCTCCGCAGGGCTCAGCCCTGCCGGGGGCCACGGCGCTGCCCGCCTTGCTCTTGCGGGAGTCACGAGGGATTTCTGTGGTTGTGCCACGAGCAAATACATTTCTGGGCCCCTCTTTTCTCTTCATTTCCCTAGAGGAGACCAGACGCTGACCTGCGGTGTCTCATTGTCAATGTGCCTCCTCATCTACTCGGCTTTATACAGATCGCTTGACCAGCAGTCACAAAATACCCCTCTCCTCCATCCAAGCCCATTAAGATGTTTTCACTTTCCCTTAAATATGCCTCTTACCATGATCTTCAGGACATACCTCCACCGACCCGTTCTCTGCTGCTAGTGGGGACTGAGTCATTGGTGCTTTAGTCTTCCCAGAACGGAAACCTTTTGGTATGAAGAATTCCAGCTCAAAAGTGAGCCATCTGGAAGGACTTTGGCTGGAGGGAGCTCATGGTCACTCTGGATTTTAAATGACCAGGTCCCTGGAAGGTCTCAAGGCAAGGCACTATATAATAAAATATACCCAATTATATACATATATCTCATTGTTTCCTAGCAGAGCTGGGAACAGGGACTAGGTGTTGTGTGTCTCAGTCCCGGGACTGTCCGTCAGGAAATGCTGTTCCTTATCCCGGCATCAGTTCAGATGGAAGCACAGCAGAGTGCTCACGTCTTCCTGCACCCATTTCACATTTGGAGAACAGCCACAGAGCATCTGAGCTATGATTTTAGACAGACCTCCCAACTTCAAATAAATCTCATGTTTTCTTTCTGAAAGACATGCATGTCTCTGTTTCATAACAACAGAGACCGAGAAATTTTCCCCATAATAAGGCTAAAAATACCTCCTCAAGCCCCACAAGGAATTAATTCCTGCCTGATTCTAAAACGTTTGAAGTTCCTCAGCTGGTATCAGCTGTAGTAAATGTTTGATATTCAATAATGTGTTATGTGAGGCCAAGTTTTGGAAGGAAAGCATGAGTCCTGTACCAAGGTTGACGCTGCCCACGCTGCAATATCAGCAGATGAATGCAAGGAAGACCATTCATTACAGCACTTACGTTGCTGTTGTGTGCATGGCACAGTCTAACTCACCTAAAAGGCTGTGATCCTGCCAGCCACCATCTGTGAGAGCCTGAACTGCCTTGATAGCTGCACGTGAGCAGAGAGCTGCACAACAGAGTCCCAAACCTGGGAAAAACAGAGAATCAGCCCACACTTGTCCCCTGCAGATGAAACTAAATAAACGGTTTTCTATTTTTCCCCTAAATATCCTGGGAAGCATCCATGAGGTGTTAGGAGCATGTGAAACTGAAGCACTAGACGCATGCCAAAAGGCTCCAGCTCTCGTGGACACATAGCTGGTATGTCATGGGATTACCAAACCGCGGCGCGTTCACCTGCACCGTCGCTCCGGGGCCGGTGTCACCGCTGTGACAGCCCTGTCCCCCTCACGCCATCCGCCCACGCACCGAGCCCACCACCAGCACCTCCCTGCTCTGCAAAGACAGCCCCTCTCTGCTGAACCAGCACTAAAACCTGGGTTCCCCTGTTTGCTGGAAGCAGTCTAAGGCTAGACCGTGCACTTGCCTGTTGCAAAACTGGGAAATTGGCTTGATGGTTCTTCCTAACTCTAATGAGCATCTCACACCTTTGTTGTAGATAGAGCGCATTCTACAGTGCGGATATTAAAAATAACTCATTTCATACATTTTATACATATTTTAGTGGCTAAAAATTTCAATTCCAAATTCTGGAATTCAATGTCCAGGTTCTTTTAATCAACTTCATTGCAAATTCTTCTTTCCTGCGGGACAAAGGAAACTGTATTAGGAAAGGCAGCAATGCAAAGCGGAGGGCGCAGGGAGGGTATGTGATGTGACGCAAGGCACTTACTTCCATCAGGAGAAGACGATGTAAACCATGAGTGCACAACCCACTATCCAGCCGACTCCAAGGAGAATAGGCACAACGAGACGGGAAAGAGGGACGGCTGCTGCAAGAGAGAAAGGGTCTTGCTCAGCATCACACCAGATTCATTCCATTAACCCCATCAGTTGATTTGAACACGCTAATTCCCACAGAGCAAGGTTCCTGCGGGCTTGGGCCACATAGTCTGTCACTGCTATTTTTAACATGGAGCCACCATATCTTGGCAGGCCTCCGAGTGAAAATACACAGCAAAAGCCCGAAGGTTTCCACTGTGGTCTCTGCAATGAGATAGGCCCGAGGCTTAGCGCTTCCCAAAGCAGCAGGGAGAAGGGAGGAGGCGGGCAGGCTCACACGGGAGAACATCTGTAGAGCACCGGGGTGACAGCAGCTGTCTCCGCAGACTCAAACCACTGACACACACAGCACCTTCTAGAAGCATCACTAGGCTGGCAGCAGGAAATCAAAAATGGAACCATTATTTAACGGTATAGCCATTTAATTTAACATTAACACGCCTGGGGTGGCCAGGCCTAGGGACTGGCAGCTCCTCTCTGTGCTAAATCAGGGGCCTGGTTTAGTCACCTCCTGTCCCGCCACTGGTGATATGAAGGAGTTACAGTCAGTGCAATTACGTGTGCCTTTCCCCACCTTCAAGTAAGAAAATACCGTAGAAGTTTCCACTGTGGTGCAAACCAGTGACGTGGCGACCACAGCTCGGGGTTGGTCTTGCAGAAGGTGCCGTTTCCCTGGCTGCCGTGGGCCAGTCCCGAACGCGGGATGCTGTGTCTGTGCTGTCTGCTGTCACCAGGGCAGGCCAGCGAGTAACACCGAGGCCATAAGGAATCCTGATGCCCTCTGCAGAACGAGGGCTCAGCAAGAGCTATGTCGCAGAACAGAGCTTTAAATAAATATGCTCTGCACAGTACCCTGCTGTCAAAGATCGTTTTCTGCAAATATCAGAATCTGTCAAAGATCATTTTCTGCAAATATCAGAATCCTGCTGGAGAGCAGTCATATCAGCCTTTGAGATCATATTTGATACCACCGTATTAGAGCATTTTAAAGTACATTCTTTGCAGTTGAAAGACCAGCAGGTTTCTGAAAGGGTTAACAAATAACCCAAAGCTAGTCACGGCTCCTTGCCAAGTCTGGGCCAAGCTGACAGACCTGGCAGCGAGACTCACTAATTTCAGGTTTTCCACATGACTTTTTAAAGCTGTACACAACACAACCATGTTTATCTGATATTCCTGGTTACATACACCAAGAGGGAGAGAGAACATACGGAAAATCTGCACGTATAAAACCAAATATAGAACGGATAAGCAATCCAATACAGCAGGGGTAAAATCCTGCTGTGAAATGCTGGTATCCTTTCAGCGCAGGGGAACTGCACACCTGCCTCCTTCAAAGAGCATTAACGTCTGGGTACCAGGTGAAGCTCCCGGGAATGCTTTCTCTTTGCTAGCCGCTTTTTCCAAACACCCTGTTCGAGATAAGGGCTGGATGGTGGCACAGAGCTCCTGGCGCCTTCCCGGGGACCTTCCCGGGGACCCTGGGTTTCGTGGAGCCCTGCGAGGGCTGGAGAAAGAAACGACCACGGGGTCCCTTGCTGGGAGCTCCCGTCACGGACAGACACCCCGGGCTCCCGCTGCAGCAAAGCCGCGCCTGAGCACGCTGTTGGACACCACGAGCGAGGGCCCCAGCTCGGCACTGCCCTGGGCGGGACATCGCAGCCCACAGCCCCGCTGCAGGGCCTCACAAAAGAGGGACAAACTCCCTCCTGCTTATCTGCTTGGGTACCTGCCCCTACGCATGTAAGAAACACGCACATGCATATGCAATGGGTACCGAGTATCATGCGTGTATTTCTATGTGTGCAAGCTGCAGTATTTTCTTGGTCTTACGGACTGTATCATTCAATGCTTTCATTCATTTTAAACATTTTTATACATTCATTTTAATGTGTAAAAAATTTACTGAGAGCAATATTGAAAAGCCACACAAGAAGGGAGTTTTTAGCGGCTTTCGGTGCCCCCACGACGATGTCGATGACTTTTACACCAGATACCACCTGAGTAGCAGTGTACACATCATTTTTATGCACTGTTTTACCATGCAAACCTCTTAGGAGTGAGCTAAATAGAAAGGACAGTGAACATAAAATATATTGCTTTCCTTTTCAGTGAAAATCTGCTTATAACAGTTTAGCAAAGTTTCATTTTGCCCTGACTCTTGAGCTTTGTGTGTTTAAAATCTGAGTTCTTAAGCATTCATTCGGCATTATACTCAGATTTCAGCTTTTTTTTAGACAGACTAGATTATTTGGTAGTCAACTTCAAGGCATATCTGACAAAATACAATATTAAGGTATCTGAAGATGACCTCAGGAAAAAACAATCTATTTTACTGTGTTTTAATGCAGTTTTATGTTTGCCATTGGGTGACACATTAATTTTCAGTGCTTAACCCATGTAATCAATCATCTCTTATTAGTCTCTCAGGAGAAGAACTTCAAAAAAAATTCAGGAAAAAGTGTTCTAAAATCACAGCTACAAAACAATATAAAAAGCTGGTATGACTCAAAGGGAATTCAGGAGAAGCCAAGCTACTTTGAGCTCACTGCTTCTAACAGAATCAGCTTTTAGACTGATTGTACTTTTGCACTGAAAGGTAAAATGTATAGATTATCACACAAGAACTAGTACTTTACAAACAGCTGAATATTTTCATGTAACGTTACCCTCACATTCATGGATTTTAAGAGCACATTGTTACACCAACATTTAACTATTGCTCTTACCTGGCTCTGCCATTCTTCTCTCTGCCGGATTTACGGGCAGGTTTTAGGGTTTGTCTCTGCAGTTGTTCTTGTGAGCTTTAGGAAGCTTTAAATAGAGCAATATTTGGAACGTGCTGCAGCTGCCCTGCTCCCCGATGCCAGGGTTTGGCTCTATGGATTCAACTGTTTGGAAGGCAGGAGTTCAAGGTATCCAAGGTTAGCGCTCCCTATTCCTGTAGCGGCATGTCTATTTTAAAGAAAGCCAAATAAAGAGAGGGCATTTTTGAAAGGGGCAATGAGACAAGGGCGAAAGTTGCTTTATGGTCTCTCAACAGCTAGGAAATACTGCATGGCATTCGCTTGGCTGTTTTTTTCTGTCCTACTAATGGGCATCCAGGTATTTATAGCAAGACAGGGATCCAGCTTGTTCTTCATTTCCCAGGTCTTCTTTCTTCCACCTCCTATCAAGAAACAAACCAACCAAGTCTGTTTCAGTAATACTAGCATTTGTATTTCTGTTAATGCTGTTTTGCTAAACATCAGCAGTTAGGCTGCACTCTGCAAAGCACGAAGACACAGTTAATGTCTTCTCTCCAAGAAGTTACTTTTTTTCCTTACTTCTGTGGGTAGCAGCTAAGAAAATTCATGGAAGGGCCGTTCCTCGAAGTGATTTGAGAATGATTTTGTCATGAAAATTATACACAAAAATGAATAAAAATCAGTGCAAAGCGCAGCCTCCAGCGTGGGAGAACAGGACTGCTCGGGGCTCTCCCACGCGAGACGGGAGCTCCCCACACATCCCTTGGCCCGACGGCTCCTGGCCAATAAACACGGGAAACCCACTTGAGGTTTATTAGGGAAACAAATTCCCGTGCACAACAGCTGGAGCAACGCGCAGGTCCCATCACAGTGAGCAGGAAAGCCGGAGCAAAGGCTGTCGTGCAGCCCCGGCGGGCGCTCTGCCTCCCTCCCAGCCAGCTCGCCGCAGAGCTGCGCCTAGATGCACAGAACGGGGACTCTCCTTGCATGTTTTTGAAATTCAGAGGAACACAAACTGTTGATCAAAGGCCATTACACAGAACAGGTGCACAGGATGTTTTGAAGTGATCTAATCTGGATGTTTGCATAGCTCCGAGGAATTCATCGTGTTCTCCCAGAAGAGGAGGCACGGCGCAGAAACACATCGTGCAGATCTAAAGAAGATTTTTTCCTTTCTCATATGCTTATTGATTAATGATGAAAAAGTTTATATAAACAAGTTTAACTTCAATTATGATCTTGATTCAAAACTGATTCCTCCTTTACAAGGGCTACAGAGATTCCATCTTCCCTAGAGCTATTGTATCAGCCTGCAGAAAAGGAATTAAACCAAAGTCAGTCTCCAGAGTATGATCAGAAAAAAGTTGGCTCTTCAAACCAACATGATCTAACTTGTTTTAAAGCAAGTTCATAACCGAAGTATTGAATTTTAATTTAATTTTGTTTTTTTAAAAGCAGACTGGAGCTGGCTGCAATGGAAACTGCACGGCGCTGGTCCCAACCGAGGGAGATTCTGTTCCCCAGAACAGTGCAGCGTTTCGGGGACCCCCGTCCTTCCCAGGCCCCTGCCCTCTCACAGGGGCAGAGCAGGGAGCACAGCCACATTTCGAGGCTACATCTACAAAAGAGCTGGGTGAGACCGCCTGCAAAACACCCATACAAAAGGCAATTAAAAATACGGTCATTATTACAGGGAAAACACACAGGATGGGAAACTGGGGGCCCCCAGCTCCACACAACTTGCATCCATCTGCAAAATGCTTTCAGCTGGAGTGAGGGGGGAGGAAAAAAAAAAAAAAAAAGGATGGCAGTGGAATATTTTAAATGCAATTATTTGTATTGCTGTGATGAGTATCTTGGAAACCCTGCTAACATACACAGAGTGATTGAGCAGCGTTCTCCGCTGGCAAAACTTTACTGAAGACAGTTGTTTTACATCAATGATGAATTTAGCTTTGTATAGATTGGTTTCATTGCGTACTATAAACAGTCCCCTTTCTGGTCTTCTGAGTTTGGCATCAATCCTAAGGTGATTACAGGAAACATATCAGGTCAAGTCATGTCACATAATGGAACTTCTATCGCCTTCTCCCATCAGTATTTTATTTTCTGATTTCTCCTTCTGTCACTTATTTGTTTGCCATACATTAAACAGACCCATCACTGTCATATTCAGCTTTACACCACTGCAATCCTAACGCACTCACCAAAATTCTCAGGCCATAAACCTTAGGCCCTACGTAGCACTGCACTGGACTCACAGAGCTCGGGACAGGGAAGCAGAGTTTCCAAGTTACTTATTGACCATGAAGAATAAGAAATCATTTTTATTTTCCATGAAACTGGGAAAAAATCCTGTAAAAAGACGTAATTAAAGATGTAATAACAACATTTTCAAACAAAGTTTATTGAAAATGAGTAAAAACTTTAAAAACTTCTGCAAATGCAGCTATTTTTCATAAATAAATAGTGAGAGAATTCAAATGATCATGCTGTTATTGGCCAACAATTTGAGCTTGTGTTCATTTTTGCTCTTTTTCATTCCTCAAGGGGCATGCAGATTTATTTGGGAAACATGAGGGGAAAGAATAAAAAAAAAAAAAAGAGTTCTGCAAATCTGCTACAAATTATGCAGAGTTTTCTCCAGCAAAAACACTGCCAGTTTGTCTACTTCAGCTGCAGCTTCCTTCCAGGTGCAATCTGCCAACATCTTAAAAAAATCAGTGACAGAACCGAGGACTTGTCTGCACTTGAGAGGCAGTGGCGGGAACCTGGTCCCCAGTTTTGCTCTTTGCCATCATCTGCCTGTTAGCTAGTTGCAGTCTCCAAGTGCCAGAGCTGAGCAGAGTGAAGTGTCCTTGGCCGTGCTAAGAGGCGTTTCAGGCTGACATTTACCCACTGGTCCCACTATTATCTATTCCATTTGCAATTAATTCAAACCTGTAGATCTTTTCTATGAAACCTTATTTTGCCCTTCACAAAGCCTGCAAGATTAGCACCTTACTCTACTGCCATGGAGGAGAGAAGATTCTACCCGTACATGGGGATAAGGCATCAATCAAAAAAATATTTCCCTTTTGCATGTCTGAGATAATTTTGGAGGTACTTAACAGAACGACTGAAACCTACCTGTGCCTCAGTGAGTTTGCATTTTCTGTTTCCAGGTTCTTGCATTTCTGCATGCATGCTGAGATAGTTCAGCACAAGCGCTTTTTATTGTACCATTTTCAGGTCTGCAGAAACAACCGAAACCAGAGCTTTGTTTTCCCACTTACGTGAGCTCCACGCAGGTCTCTGCTGGTGGCAGGAGTTAATCTTTGAGAGATCTGAAGGCAGGGTCACACTCGCACTTTGCACAACAGGAGCACAGGACTGGAATGGATTTCTCGGGACTGAAAGCTCCTCTCTCCTGCTGTAAAAGAAAGCCCTTTTTCATAAGGTTTAGCAGCATTCTAAAACAACAGAATTTCTGACATGTGTCCCTTTCAGTGTACAGCTCTTGTGGACCTTCCCACTGCTGGCTTCCCGAACACTGTGGCAGTGCTCCCCACATCTACACAGCTGTGGATATTTGCAGCACAGGCTCACGTAGTCCCCTCGAATAATAAACCCCTCAAACTAGCCAGAGGACTTGCACGGGTTTCTAGATCACGTTGATCAAATGATTCTGCTATTAACCGAAATAGCAAGTTCCTTGAGCGCCGAAACCCTCCGGTACTAAATACATCATCCATCTCCACCACTGGCTTTTGCCGATTTTCTGCATTTTTGAACAAGACCATTCTCTTTAAAAATACCCTTCTTTGCACAAGCACTGCATAAAGAACTTGATCTGGGTGTTGCTCATGCAAAATGGCTATACTCTTCAAACAGAATTCATGGCTGTATCGCATTTTACTGTGTCATGCACAATCAACGTATGATGTAATTCTGAGAGAGAGGAATAAAATGCAAACTTTCCCTTCTTGTAGCGGCTTTGCTACGGAACAATGCACTTCTTGGGATAGGATCCAATCTGTTGTAAAAAGAAATATGATTCTGTCCCTTGCGTAATACATTTATTTAAAAAAAGCACCCTCAGTGATGCAATAACATCATTGGCTGCATAGCTATTCCCGTAAGAATCCTATCTATTGTGATTCTGCTTATTATATATATCTATCTGATCTAATGGAAATAATTTCTACCAGGAATCATGTATTCCTAACAACACAATTTGACCTTCACAAATTGGGTTCTTTCCAGGCCCAGTTGCTTTAAGCAAGGACAGAGAGTCACTGTTGTTTGCAGGAGTTTTGATAACTACTACCCTTATTTAGCTGCAAGCATTGTGCAAAATAAGTATTGTTCCACAAGTCCCGAGTGTGGGGATTAAGGATATAGGAGTCGTAACTGCATAAAAATGTAGTGTGACAATTTAATATAGACATTATTTTAAACAACGCATCTGTCTGGAATGGAAGAATGAACAGCAGACAAATTCTACAATAGATCGCAGTCCAACAGCCAGAAAAAGCCCGGGGACAGTTTCAAAAATAAAATAAAAGATTTCAAAATTAAAAAAAAGAGGACAATATACAATAATGAAGAAAAAACTCAGAGAACAATTCATGGCAAATAACTTTGCCTGCTGAAGAAGAATACACATGGGAAACAATTTCTTCATTTTTAGGTTGTGTTTGAGATAACATTATACTTTGTGCTTTCTTCTTTGTGCTGGGATGACGAAATGCTCAAAATTCAGATTTATGCTGTGATGGTTAATGCGGTCAGTCACGTAACACGGACGCTGAATGAGTATCTTGTTTTGCCTTCAGTTCACTGAGGTATCAAGGGTTTCTCCTCACTTAAAGCAATCCCTCGAGCAGCCTGGTTGACTATTAACTGTTCAAAGTTAGAAATGCACTTTACGGCACTGAGGAAATATCATATACTTAAGGGAACCAGGGCCAGAATGTGTGTGCTCCTACCTGTGCCCACTGCACCCAGAGATCGACCGTGCTCAAGCAGCAAGAAACACCCCAAACCCCTTCCAAAA